ATGTATGTATGTATGTAAGTAATGTATGTAATGTATGTAATGTATGTAATGTATGTAATGTATGTAATGTATGTATGTATGTATGTATGTATGTATGTATGTATGTATGTATGTATGTATGTATGTATGTATGTAACCTGTACTTGTACATACATATACATATATATATATATATAGACATGTAGATATGTCATGTATATGTACATGCATACACCCGCATATCTTTTATGCACAATTAGAAGCAACAATGTTCCGCTGAGTGCGGCACCTTGTTGAGCGGAATCCACAGAATCGCCAGCCTTGGCATCGTCGCTTTAATGCGGCGCTTGAGATGGGGACTGCCTTAACAGAGCTGATAACTGCATTCGGATAGTTCGGGCGCCTCTGATGAAGTTAGGAGTGCTGTAGCAGGCAGCCATGAAGCCTGGATCTTGCAAACAATGGCAACTACGTTGGCATGCCCTCGAGGATTCAATTGCAGGACCCGGAGCACTAGAATCGCAAGATTGCAGATCATGACCGGCGAAACAGCTCCCTTTCGTTCCTGTTCAGCTCTTTAAGCCGCTGTAATGCATCGTGTGCCAGAAAATTCTGTGCAAGTCCTGTTGCTTTTCAGGCTTGATCCTCTCAGTATCTCTCAGCCTCACGTTAAAGGCCCGAGAAGAACACAGCCAGGCCGCATGAGGGATCGTATGACTAGGAGCGCAAGGTAGACCAGCACAAGGTAGCCTTGGGAGCGCAGCGGGGATTCAGAAAGCACCGAGCCGCAGACTCCCAAATTCAATTTCGAGTTCAGCTTGAGACTATCTTTAAAGGAGCTCCATCATAGAACCCTCTATAGTACCCTTTAAAGGGACCCCAGTATAGAACCCTCTATGGTACCCTTGAAAGGGACTCCATCATAGAACCCTCTATAGTACCCTTTAAAGGGACCCCAGTATAGAACCCGCTATAGTACTTTTTAATTAAAGGAACTAGGCAGCCCGACCTTAAGATGCTCAACAAGCAGCGGCTTAGGGTTGCGGGTTTCGAGTCTAGGAGCCGCCACTCATGAAACCAAAGTTCCAATCAGGCACCGCGTCGCAGGCCCAAAGCCCTGCGATTGCTCCGAAGTCTGAAGCCTAGAACCTTGCCCTGGTTTGCACTCCCAGTCGCCGAAGTCGCTGAGGTGGATAATGCCCAGCGAATCCTGGAATTCGTTACTTCGAGGGCCTGTCGATTTTGAGGACTGCAAGCCGTGCATGGAGTCACTCGGCCCCCCAAACACGCGAGGTATGGAGTTGAAATTGCGGGGAGCAGGTGCAAAGCAAAATCGATGGGAGATTGAGCGCCCAAGCCCAAACACGGAAAACCCTCGGGATAAGGACTTGCAACTGTGTCCAATGCATCGCAGACTCCAGCACGGTATCGGCAAAAAGGAGGCCGGCGAGGAAGAAAATGACCTTTCTCCGACATGTCAGGAGAGCTTAGAATAGGGTTTTGGGGCCCATTATACTTTAATTATAATAAGGAACCCCCAAAATAGTGTTGGTAATTATTTATCCTACTTATGGTCACTTGTATCCTGTGAAGGCATGTGCTGATGCATGGTACCAGGCGATACATCGGAATCTTGATCGTCGCTTGTCCTCCCATAGACGTGCATCTCATTCAACTGAGGGTAAAGCCAACGGCCCCGAATTCCTCTACGAGGGCCCGGCCGTGTTGCCGACGAACTCGACGGTCTCCCAAACGATTTCCATCGCCTTTCCATGCGTCCCGGCAGAACATCGCAGCGGGAGTGAATCCCCAAAGATGGCATGCTCACCTATCCAAACCACCGAAACCGCTTACTACGACCCCATGTTATGACAATCTCTACACCTTTGTTGTGATCTGGCCTCCAGGGAAACGAAACGTGGCCATGCATAGTACGCAACCTCGGCCAAACGAGCTTGAGGCTTTCGACAATATCGGGACTTATCACTATGAGAATGGCAACGACGACGACGACGAGGGTGTTGGTGAACATTATGTGGGGTCGGCATTGTTGATGACCAGACGTTGGTAATCCAGACGGCCGCGGTACCAAAGTTGATACTGACGATGCTGGGGATGACGCCACAAATAATCAGAATTGTCACACAGGTTGCGTCAGGGGCAGCTTTGCTGCGGCTAAGAGAAGTGAAGAAGCTCGAGGTGGTGATCCTGATGAAGAAGAAAACTCTGTCTACTATGGATACAAGTATTATGGTGATGATGCAGATCGTGAACGCAGTGTGATGATGAGAATGACACTGACTGATAGTAAGGAACGAAGTAACACTGATGGTGATGGTGAAGACGATGATGATGGAGGCGATGATGGTCGCGAGGGCGGTGAGGATGACAGTCGCGTGCTGCCGATGGCGACACTGATGCTGGTGAGAAAAAAGATGTTGAACATGAAGAGTTGTCGCTCATGCTATGATGATAGTGCTACACAGTGTGATTGAATGCCATTGCCGGTTCTATTGCTACCTGTACCAATGATGAAGAAGACAATGTTGATGGTGACGGCGATGATGTTGATTATGATGATGATGATTCGCGGTTTGCAATGTGGATCTGCGGATAGGTTGCAAACTAATTGGCAATGCTTCGGCACCCTAAGCCCTAAACCGGGCATGTAGCGACGTGATATCGGGACGTACGAAGTACAGCTGCAATTGCCACGGCTTCGCAAGGCGTTGAACAAACGCTGCGACCACAAAGACAACCATATGATGATGACGATGATGATACTAATGATAACGACAGGTGATGTTGCTGATGTTGTTGCTGCTGATGGTGACCATAATTGTCATCGTGATGTTGATGATGACGAAGCAGAAGAGAGAAAGCCCACGAGGAGGCGAAGAGGACTTCTAGGACTATGACAGCCGCAGCAACGATAGGCATGGCAAATCATGTTGTTGATCATTCGGTGTTGCGAAAGTTGAACACGATAACGGTGATGACGGTGAGACTGTGCCGATTTGGTCGTGCTATTGGTCATACAATACATCCTCGCTGTTGTTGCTGGCATTGCTGTTGCTGGTGCCGGCATTGCTGGCTTATTCCGGTGCTGGTGGGGATGTTGCATACTCGGGCAACAAATGACACGATTGCTGTTTGAGGCTTCGTCAGCTTCTCTTCAAGTCAATGCCTCACCGGTCGCCGGGTTGTTTGGGTTGCAGTCGTTTCAGGCACCGACTTCAACGCTTGCTGCCAAAGCGAGGTTCCTACGAAAAAAGACTGCTCGCACTCAGGATTCTATGTGTGCTATGATGGCCACCTTACACCGCAGGACACTCCGGGAGCAAACTCGCCGAGACTTGTTTCTGTGTTTCTGCGACGCTGAGCAGGCTTTCCCCTGACCATATCTTTGGGGAGGGTAGGATGGGCGGTGGTGGTCCGGAAATCCCAGTACAGTCCACATGGTCGCTTGCCTGAGTCTGTGTTTGAACACAAACACTAGCCGTGCTTTGGCTAGAGACTGAAACCTGTTCCCGCAAAGGAGCAGCGAAGCCAGCTGAAACCGTGGCCTTAGCTCAGCGCTTTTCGTTTAGCACATCTCAATCCATGTCTCGACAGTAACGGTTGAGATTGAGCCATTGTCATTTTGCTTATACTGTATGTCGCCCCGGTATCTTCGGAATTAGCACCGAAAGCTCCGAAACCGCCTTTCCCAACACCACGACCGTCTGCTGCGAACAACAATGGATGCCAAAAGCGAAGTTGTTAGACGTGCGGCTGCAGGATGCTAGGATGTCTTTGCAATGTCAGTCCCCGGCCTTCGAATCAAAACGATTTTCAGAGTTCACGGAAGCCTCCAAGTCTTTTGCCTTGAGCCCTCCGCAAACAATCCTGTCCGACAACCGACTGACATGGACCGACAGTACGCACAGGTGCCCTGAAAGCTTAGCCTTCTCCAAATTCTGCTGTACTCACTCATGGTCTGCCTAATTATGTCATGAAGTATGTCTGCCAGGGATACAGAATGGCAGAGAATGCTCAGACCAGGCCACGGATGCACACTAAAGGCAACCCAGGGGCCAATACTCCACTTGTGCTCAGCTCACTCTCAGCCACAAAGAAGGCCAGGTAAGCACAGCAAAGCCTCGGCTGTTGAGCGACTAACGCCCTCTGCTTCAGGCGAGATCCAGGCTTCATCCGGAACGAAGTTTCAACCAACTGCACCACAGTATAACTCGGATGCCACGCGAACCCTACTTGAAGAATCCGGGCCAAACGGCTCCAAGAGATTCCTGGCGAGAAGCAGCGGCTACGTCCGATGATGCTGTTGCTTCGGGTGCGAGTTTAGGGTCTCGAGTGTAGACCGGCCACATTCGCAGGTAGGACCCGTTGTGCAAATCTCGTGCCATTGCACTTGAACCACGACTCTGCTTGTAGAACCTAGCATGCTCATGTTTTCCCCCTCACTATTCTTCAATTGACAGCTCCATGGCGGCCCTGTAGCGTGGTGATGACCTGAATCAAGGCATCCTCGGCTTTTTGGAACTTTTTGGTTTGGAAAAGCCGGCGATTGTTCCCGTGCACACATCAATGAATAGTGCTTCATGTAAAGGTGATGATGTATAGATGGAGGTGAAGCAGAATCGATAAAAAAAAAACGCAAGCAGGTAAGCAAGCAGCCAGGCAGGGAGGTGGAAACATTGCTAGCGGGGCTGGCTTCTGTATTGAGTTTTGTGCATCAATAGCACAATTGCAGAGACTTGTTTGCGCGTAGGGAAGTAGATGCATAGGTACGACCTAGGTAGGACATGGTAGGAGGCATGTCTGGTGTTCGTGGGAAGGTGGCCAGAATAGATTTGTTGGTAGGGCAGGGCTTATCGGGACATCTTGCCTCCGATTGCTTTTGGGTGGCGATGCTCGATAACTTCCCATCTCATGTTCTGATATTTTCCAAGGCTCATTGCCCGAACTTTAGGACAACTCTAGCAAACAAAAGGACTAGATTGATGTAGAATCGTCTATCATCCAATTGCTCTGCATTGCTAAGCGAAAGGCCTCGGGTCGCGGAGTGTCAGAATCTGAGCGGAGGATTCTAGGGAAACCCGTGGAGCTCTGAAGCACTGCGGGGTCCTTGACTTTTGTTTTTGAATGTCGGCACTTGTATTCTAGTCCCACCCCCTTGCAGCCAGGAGATCGTTGTGGAACCGCTCCTCTGCGCACTTGCCGATAATCGCCACCTGGTCTGGTCTGTGTTTCAGAGGGCCTCGAGATGCCCACAGGGCCTTGGGCCCAAGATACCGGTGTCCAGGATGCTGTTCGTTATCAGGGTGATTGAGTACGTGCAAGGTCCTTGTACTACTCTCTCCGAGAGCTCTGTCAGGTGCAACGGATCAGCAAACCAGTCCTCGAAGCTAAGCCCGACGCTTCGAGCCCTAAGCTTTAGGTCAAGCCGAGAGGCTGCCAGAAGTCCTGCCAGTCCGCCAAAGACGATAGAGGTCAAGGACATGTGGCCTCGGGGGGTCTGGCTTTCACCAGGTCCTTCTTGGTAGGGGTAACTCGGGCTGTGGGCTCTGCTTTCAGCTGCCGTCCATTGGAGGATAAAGAGGCAGAAAGTGCTAGCGGGCTTCGAGAGGCGGTGTGCGTTTAATCTGTGAGAAGTTTGAAGTTGATTGCCTTGCAGCTGGCCTCAGACTAAACTCCTGATCGAGCCTCAACTTTGCCCGAAAGCATGTTAACGATGTCGGGTCTCCAAAGAATTTCAATACGGAGGTGACATCCAGTGAGGCACCAAGAACCACCTTCAGCATGAGCACCTGAGAACAGCGTGATCGCGGCGTTGAGCGTTTTAGGGTCTAGGCCTGTGGGTACAGTAGATGCTACATGATGGGTGTTGAACGCCTTACGTAAGAAGGAGTCCTTTTTGATGCGAGCTGCAGTTCGAACGGCCGGGGATGCTAAGTTGAAGATTCGCTTTAAAGTATCGGGCTCCCCATTCACGGATTTCAGACTTGCGGTATCCTGAGGGATCCCGGCGGCTGTGTTGACATTTTTGAGAAGTAGTCAACTATAATCTGGCATTGCAAGCTCAGCATGTTAAGAGGACCCCCTGGGACGTGGAGTCTCGATTCGACGCACTTGCTGTCACGCATGCCAAGAGTAACTCGTTCCATCCCGCGTAGTTTCGGGACAGACCCGAAAGGCCTGGGGGCCAAGGAACTGGGCCACTGGCAGACGAGGCGCAAAAACAACTATGGCCGTGCCGTCGTTCATCAAGCTCTCGCCAGAAACCAACCTCACAGTCTCTGGCTGGGGTACCGTATGTAATGCTAGACAAGACTATTCTGGTTGCGAAGGGACACTCATCTGATGCATGGGCTTATCAGGCAATGGGTGGATACTGCACCGTTTAGACGTGGCACAGGCACAGCGGTTCTGAATATTGACGGGGCGGTGTGACCAGCGCCCCGCGGAGCTTATAATTGGAGGGCGATGACGCAACAAATTGTTCCTGCTGTCTCGGAATGCCGACTGAGGGAGGGCTGGTTAGGGCAGATCTCTGACAGACGGAGCAGACAAAGGATCAAGAAGGTCTCTGAGAATGCGGTATGCATTACTGTTGATCACAAATGGTCTAGGTTCCTGGATGAAGCCACCAAAGAGACGCAGCGCTAGAAGCTGCCCAACACATGACCAGACAATAATTTGATCCCTTGCTTTTCTTTCTCCGCATTTGCATATCACGCCGGAAATGAGATCTGTAAGCTGGAGTGTGAACCGGGCTAAAACGCAGGGCGCACAGCATGCACCTTGCATGCATATGGATACTTACAACTCAATGCATACCTTCTGCATGTATGGACAGATACTATAGTACCTAATGTGCTGCAAGTGCGAGGTTTCCTGCGCCACCAGTTCACACAACTGGCACATGAACAGCTGCCGG